GCTGTATTATCACTGTAGCATAACACGCCCTCACAAAGGGCCAGGGTAAGCTAGAGAGTACGGTACTCTAGAAGTCGCAGCTGCGTTATATAGCCCAGGCCAATAAATAGTAAAATAGTCCTAATGGTTAAAGTGATAAACGTATGTTACCGGTACTGTATATTGACTTGCTTCTGTTTCCGTCTGTTTTAGAAACACTTCCAACGTTCCCAAAACCTGATATAGAATCTAAAACTGGTAAGCTCGAATGGTGTGTGAAAAAGTGACGAGTGTGTCAAGAATGAAGTATTAATTAATTGATTTCAAATGGGTAAACCAAATAAAAATGGTATGAGTATAATTTCCAAAAGTCCTCTCAGTAGAGGAAGAACAAGAACAAGAAGAAGAAAAGGAAGAGCAAGATAAAGAATGAGTGTATTGGTTTTATACATATATAATTTGGTTGCAGTTTAGTTTATTTCGTTATTCATTTCATCAAGAAATTCTTATTCTAATATTTGAAATAAATTTCCAAAACAAGAAACAGGTGTTTAGATTTGTTTCTAATATTATTCCGCATTATTGTATTTTACTTGTTGATATAAGAACAAACACATTTTTTATATTTATTGAGGTACTGTATATTTAGTTTATTTTATAGTTAAAATTTTAGCATCCTCCTAATTACTAATAGCGGTGCCTATTTTGAAATTCTATGTTTTTTCTGCTAGACTCAAATATATTGAACATACCGAAATGAAATTCTATGATAAGCCTTATAAAAGTCGTAAATGTCAAAATAAAGTCGGATAAACATTTAGAATCTTTGCAGGACGTATTGTGTAACCTATCGTAATATTTTTTTCAGATGTTGTATGTAGTGATTCGTATATGACCGTTTATTTGGATTCTTCAATTAATATCACCGGTAGTGTGCACTTCCTTGATGCAACATGTACTGCTGCTGGATACGTTTATCGTAATGGCATTCGATGTATTTATCTTTACACTCGATTTGATCAATGCCGAACCTCAATGACGGTAAAATTGAAATTGTATTAAAATATATAAAGTACATCCTTCGAGACGAGTAGGGGATACCCCGGTGTAACGGAACAGACAGCCCCTGTAGTGGACGACGAGAGTTGCTGGTACCGCGTTATGTAGCACAGACATGAAGAGACCCTTAGGGGCGAATAAAGTCATTGATCGAGTTCCTAGTCCACATATCAAGCGCCCTGAGCATCTTACATTAGATGGATATGTGCGCTATATCAAACTACACTATTATATTATTATTATTATTATTATTATTATTATTATTATTATTATTATTATTATTATTATATACATGATGATGTTTTACAAAATTTACGGTACCCATTTTTTTACGGACGGTTGAATTTATGTTACCTAATAATACACAGCTTACAATGTGGTACCAACTGGTCGTTACAATTTCTCAATTGAATTAATGTAGCCTAAATTTAATGACTTTTGAACGCGCGTAAAGCAAGAAAACGCGGCAGTGGAATAAAATGTTTTACCCAATAAAATCTTGTAACGAAACTCCTGCAAGACGCGATTGTCCATATCTCATTCATGGATTTTATTTTAAATGAACATCGATCTGATTTCTATATGTATTCTTTTTTTTTAATAACTTAGGCCCAATATGAAATGATAATTGATAACATTTTGTTGACATTTTGACCTCCTGCACAGGAATCATACATTTATTTCTTTCTTTCTTATTTACATTAATACATATATTGTTTTCAGTCAACGTTGACTTCAACAATTTACCACAATCAAGTAATCGCATCCGAAAACGGAGTGATTTCTCGAGCAGACGATTTTCGCATTTCCGTTGAGTGTGAGCTTGACAATAGAGGGCGATCATCTGTTAGTTTCAATCCAGAGACCGAAGAACAAAATTTTTTAAATAGACAAAATGGAAATTTTGCGTTTACGATGGAGCTGTACACGAGTGACGATTACTCAACTCCCTATTCATATTTGGACTACCCTGTTGAATTAAGCCTTGACAGTAATGTATACGTTGGTGCGAGCGTGCAGACTTTCAGCAACGATATGGTTCTTTTTGTGGATTCTTGTAAGGCGACACCTAATCCAGACCCAGATGCTCATCCACAGTATCGAATAATCGAAAACAGGTAATGTTTTTATAGCATTTTATTTTATCAGAAATATGCATATTACATTAAGTACTACTATTGAAAATAAAGAGTATGTGTATATTCGTGTTGTTTGCTGACTTACTGTAAGACACTTAGCAAATATAGAATTTTATTTTATTGTAACAATACAAAATATATATATACAAATAATTTGTATTACATATTTATTTACAGTAAATATATAATATATATATATATATATTTGAATTTTCT